TTCTAAGGTAAATATATTAAGATATATTTCAAAATTTAACATGTATTAATTTTTTTTTTTTCTGTTTTTAGCCGAGACATGCCTCCGCGAGTTAAATCCTCCATTTGCTGCGGCACTTGTGGAATATTTATTGGTTGAAATGCATGAAATGGGTACTAACGTGGAAAGACCAAATCTGTATCCAAGGCTTTTCAAGTTGGTATTCGGTAGCGTTAGTTTATTTCCTGTCGAAAATGAACAAATGCAGCGCTCTCATTAGCACAACATTGTTAATGAATCGATGGAATTGGCTTTTACAGCTGAGGAGCCTTATCATTACTTCCTTTTGCAGAGAGGCTTATTCCGTTCAATTGCCGGAGGTTCTCATGATTTATTATATCAGGAATACTTGCCATTGCTGCCTAATTTACTGAAGGGTTTGAACAGCCTGCAAAGCGGTTTCCATAAACAACACATGAAAGATTTATTTGTCGAATTGTGTTTAACGTTCCCGGTGCGTTTGTCGTTCTTGTTGTCTTAAAAAATTTTACAGAAAATGTTGTTTCAGTATTTATTTTTAAATTTAAGGATTTATTGTTAGTGATTACGGGGTTTACGAACGTTGGAATTATGTGTTGATAATTTTCAACTGGATTTTTTGTATGACCAACTGGTTTTACAAATTGAACAGAATATTATACTAGAGTCTTCGTCGTTTTTCATTCTGCTAAAAGGTCACGCTTTAGAAGCTCGTCCCGTTTTAAGCAAACTCTAGATATTCCAGCTGCGGATATGCCTTTACGTATGGAGGAGGACAACACTAACAGTAACTTCGACGGATATCTTAGATAATGTCAACAATGGTAATTGCAACCAGGGACAGAAAGAAAGGGAACAGTATGAAGATTTGATCAGCGGTTTGAATTCAGTTGAAACGTCTTTTTGTTCACTGCGTAAGCAAACTAGTCATCAACCAACTCAACACAAGAGTATGCCACTTGAAATTTTGCAATTGTTGTTGCCCGTCTGGAGAAGATCCTTTCGCTGACGAAGAAGTAGTACGTTTGTGCCCTAGTTTAACTGCACCCGAACTTGGACGAAGTGTTCCACGTTAAAACAGGATAAGCCCTCTTTGCAACGAAGACGTTTCTTGGCACCGAAAATCGCTGCTTGTCCGAAATGCGGTTACAAGCCGATACCATATCTCAAGGAAAAGGCTTACAATGAGCGAATATGTGCCGAAGAGGTATTAGAAGAATATTTAGATAAAAAATCCAGTTACAGTGGGAGTATTGATCAACATTCTAAAGACGGATCCGAGTAGAAAAAACAATGCAATTGTAAAAATGATGACCTAGGGGTAATATATTATACACGTGACCACAAATTAAATAAAACATATTTATCTTAAAAAATATTTTTTTTTTCTTTAATGCAACAAAATTTCTTACAATTTACCGAAAATAAAATGTTTAAGATGTAAAGATGAGAAGGAAATTATTGTATAAAAAATAGTAATAAAATTGTTTTAAAAAAAATGTTGCACATTTTTAACTTAATGTATAAATAAACTTTACTTATGTATAAATACAATTTAATAATTTCTTTACAAATTAAAAAAAAAAAAACTCAGCAATTCGCACGACATCATTTTAGCGAACAATAAAAAAAAAGTAAAAGTTTTTTCATTATTTTTTTTTTTTAGTATATATGTATAAATACATTGTATATAACATTAACGTTTAGTTATGGATTTAACTAAATGACTAAACAAGATATGAAAAATTCATTTTTTTATACAAAAAAAAAGTAAACGTAGAAAGCCAAAAAGAATCATTAGAAATGTATGTATACTTAAAAAGAGTAAGATTAACGTAAGTTTTAAGAAGTGTAAAAAAAAGTAAAGACGTGTTTTTTTCACTAAGTATAACGTTTTTCGTTTTCAATTGAAACTTACACCGACTATATATCTATGGACTATGCACACCAACATCATCTCCGCCACCTTCATCAGCACCTACTCCCCCAGAGTTGTTTATTGGTTCATTATTTAAATTTATTGCCGTCGTAGAGATTTGCGTGTTGTTAGATGCTGAAGAATCGGGTAATTTGACTTTTAATTGTACTTTAAGCACTTCTCGCAATTCATTGAGTTCTTGGGGTCCCTGCATTAAGCGTTTAACACCACGCGGTAAACCACGGCATGACGATAAATTTATGGAGCTCATTAAAGGGCAATTGGCTAAAATCTCTTTCACTGCTTCTTCGGAAACAGAAGATCCGCAAAGATTTAAATGCCTACAAAATAAATTTATGACATAATAGTGGATCAGACTTAATTTAAAACATTTGGTAACAGGTATCATAAGCGACATTAATAATAATAATTATGATCACAGGCCTACAAGACTATATAGGACTATAGGTGCCAAAGCAAATCTTGAATGTCCGCTAATAAATACTTCAATGTTCAGTCCTTTTTTAAACGATAGCCTAGGTGGGATAGTTGTTATATAACTTTAGTAATTATTCGTGGAGAAGCTAATATTGATATTTGTTCATTTACGTATTTATTTTCCGTATATTTTATGATTAAGTTTACAAACTACCGTTTTAAAGGAGCCGGATAACTAGATTATATGCGCTTGTAGGTATAAAGTCAAAGAGATAAGCAAATAATCACAGCAGTATACAAAAAAACTCCTCGTTTGTTCGGAGAGAAAGGCGGAAATCTAGAAATCATGTCTGTTCTAGAACAGTCAAGGACGCTATCACGATAGTCGTCAATTTTCCATAAAGGGCATTCGGAAAAAAAATGACCGACAGAAGTGGAGACATTAGAAGAAATACATTTGGGAGGTTCAGTTCGTACATAATAATATTTAGTACTGAATAAAGTCTATTCGCCCTAAGGCGGGCATTGCGCTCGGTAAAAGAGGTTACAAGAGGTTCTTTGGGGCTAGATTTTTACATTTTTTTTCTTTTTATCACATGCACACTCTTGGTATATTTTCATTTCAAAATCGAGGCATCACTCTAGCGAACAGCTGCAATGTTTTCTTCTTTCCTTAACTTCTTGCGCTCTTGTGTTTCAGTATTTTGTTGGCAATGAAAAAATTTTTCTTGTCTTAGCATTCGATGTTTAATTGTTTTCAATAAAGTACAACAAACAGCCACAAATTGGCGCTATCGCTCATAAAGATCAAACATTAAATTTGACAAAGCTAGATAATGTTCAAATATTGCATGTTCAAATAGTGCACATTACCAAGTTGAAACATCGAAACCAACTGAAACCAAGCTTCCGTACCTTTTCTACTTATTATTTCCCCTCAAAAAAAAAAAAAAAAAAAAAAAAAAAAAAAAGCAAATAAAATTAAAGTTTAGTCCTCCATAATATAAGTGGGCATGGCTGATTCTTTCCAATTACCCATGTAAAAAAAAAAAAAAACCTGTGAAAATTTCCTTCATTATACTTATTGTAGTTTATACAACTAACCAGCAAAAATTCCAATTTTTCTTGCTTTTGGAAATGGAGATGTTCTCAGTTTATATTGCACTGCGGCCATGTCTTTTGGTTTATTTCGGTTATTTTCATTAGTACCCACCATGCAGAAACTTCCAACGTTTCTGAAACATTATTTGAAGCCGATATTTTGCAAACGTGGCAATATTTATCGCAGATATTTGGCAGATGAAAAGATGGCCGTCGAGTTAGAATTTGATTTTGATCAAACATTTACTCTGTGGATTGCCAGAAGTTTCACTGTTGGTCTTGCAAATGAATACACTTCCATCCTTCGGTGGCCGATACAAAAACAACGATTTTTTTTATTATAATTAAGTATTAATGCAAACCCCAGAGCCTTTTAGAAAATTTTTTAAGATCTAAGCTTTAAATAAGAAAGTGATTCACCGATCTAAACAAACTTCTTTAAACTTAATTAAGCCATCAATTTGCAAAAAAATTTAGATCAAAGCAATTTTTTCGGAAGGATATTAATGCCGACTTGGTATCGTTTTTTATTAACCAATACTTCCCGGGCGTTGTAAAATATAGGTTGCTAAAACGAAAACTCATGACCTATCCTTAATAAAGGATATTTTGAGCTCAGAATCGCCTTTTCTTGTGAGTATATATATAAAAACATATATATATATATACATAAGGCCTTAGAGTAGTTATAATATTTCCTTCAAATGTGCTTTAAACCATGTTAAAAATTTCTCGTACCGAAGATACATATATCAATAAAGATAAGTTAATTAGAAGAGTGATAGTAAAAACTTACGCCAATCTTGATTCGGCCCCTTTATCAGCCAAAGCATGCAAAGCATTATCCAGTGGCTGTTGCACATTAGCCCAAGCGAGATCTAATTCAATAAGACTATGAGCCCATTTTGAAGCGATAAGTTCCAAGCCAGAACTGAAATAAAAGGAAATTAAATTAAAAGCAAATAAATTACACGCATTACTAACCCGGTATCGCGTGTCACTGAGCAACCAGATAAGAATAAATGTTTAATATCCCACGCGGGTAAACGTATAAGGCTCTCATGCGTCAAGCGTGTACAGCAACGTACATCCAAAAGTTTTAATTTTGAACTTGATTTCAAAAAACGTTGCAAATGCTCGTCACCTATAACACGTGATCCTGTTAAGACGGCCACCGATAGCTCTTCCAAATTGGGAAAGCCCGGTGAATCCATCTATTAAATTCAAAGATTTCAATTAGAATTTTTTCACATAAGTTCTCTCTCTTGTGTATGTACCATTTCTTGCATAGTAGCGTTACACAATGTTATGTGTGAATTGGTAATACGTAAAACTTTGAGTTTAGGGCAACCTTGTTGCAGTTTTTCTATATGCAAAATACCATGTGAAGTCGCCTGAGTGCTGACGTTGGATAAATCCAATAATTGCAAGTTTGGGGCGTGAGTCTGAAAAATAGTGTATTTTAAAAGATTTTGTGGGAAACGGCAGAATGGCCGAAATTTACCGACAGAATGTTAACCACTTGCGGTATACAAGCTAGACGATTATGCGCCAAATACAAATGCGTTAAACGCCCGCCCATTACTTGCAAAGCGTTACATAACGATTGACCTCCCACGGCACTTTTACTAGCATTCATTTCGACCTATATACGACAAAAATTGAAAATGGATGTAAAAAGAAATTGAATAAACTTACGTTAATTGAACTCAAATCAAGTCTTTCAAGTTTCTTCATATTTTCCACCATAAAAATTAAATGGTCTGATGTGAAACCTTTCCAGCCAGCCAAAGTGATGCTTTTTAAATTAGGCGCACCCTTAACTAACTTGTGCAGAAAGCAATTAATATCTGTAACTTTCCAATTGGCTGAAATGAGATCAGGTTGCTGTTAACATGTTCTTAAAATAATTCTTTTTATACCCTACACAACTTATGGGTATATTAAGTTTGTGAGGATGTATGCAACGTCCGCCTTGTCTATCTGCCTTGTTTTCTTGCGTCCAACCTATAATTGTCAATCTTTGAGATATTAACCTGCTATGGCCCAAGGATGAGCGCTACTGAAAATGGTTCGGACGGCTTTTTCAACCATGTCACGCGGCATTTTTTGAAAAGTCGTTGTATGAATAATTGCAGGGCAGTGTAGGGTATTTAACAATTAGCCGTAGCCTATTATAGCGTGTTTCTTATTTGCTATTACTTACAAACATTCAGCTCATTACATAAGCTGCAACGATTCTCCACAAACCATTTTAATTTCAGTTCCGTGCGATACTTCTCCTTAATCCACGTCGTTAAATCCATTGTTTTCCATAACATCGGTGATAGAGAAACTTGACGCCACAATGAACATACCCGACCCAAACGAAGTAGTGTAGGCATGCAACCATCCTTATCGACAATCATTTGAAATATCTAGCGAAAAAAAAAAGTGGGTAGAGAACGTTGTCTTTTCATTTTAAGAAATACCTTAAATAAGACTGGTTCTGGCAGGCGGCTACCCCAAACGCTTTGCTCAATGGGTTCTTTAACTTCCCCATCAATTCTAGAAACAGCACTGGCAACAAAAGTGATTTTCTTATTTGAACGCTCTTTTTTGCGTTTCGGTTCATAGTCATGCCCATCGGCTGCTTCATCATCGCTAGTCAAACGTATGCGCTGTTTAAGGCTCCGTGAACTTTTACGGTTCTTAACTGTCGTTGATGAGGATGATGATGAAGACGATTTTGAAATTGCTTTAGCCACAGCAGCCATTGCTGTTGCCGTTATATTACTCAAGGAATTATCCGACTTTTTTATGCATAGCTTAATACCGGTTTGGTTTTCACTAATCTGAAAAAATGCTTATTTATTAATTCAAAAGCAGACGTACATTTTGGCTGTTTAATCAGGGTCCTACCTCACTTTCATACATAGCCACCAAGGATTTTGGTTTGCGTGAACGACCAGTTCTGGCAGATTTCTCTAATTTCTTGCTCATGGTGGACAGCAATGGCTTCCCAGCATTTGGTATGGTCCCATTTCGTAAAACATTAATTGGTTGTGCAATGCAATTATTACCATCGCCAGACGACAGCGATGGAGTAATGATCGTTTCTACCGGTGATATTTTGGGAGAGGCCACAGTCTGTTGTGGACTTTCACCAGTACTACTGCTTAACTTTTGGTCTTGTGAAGGTGGTGAATGTTCGGCGGGTGGTGTAGTAGCCGGTGTGGAAGCCGCTGACGACGACATTATAGAGCTTTGAGTTTTATCATCAGTTGTTTCACATAAAGAGACTGGTGTTAAATCGTCTTTGGGGGAGATGTTTATAGTAGTGATGCTATTCTCTTCCTTTTTGACTATTAAAGGTTCCATCATTTCTATGTCTTCTTCTTGTATGTAATTTTGGATCTTTCGTTCATCTTTAAGCGCTATTGCAGTAGATATTGAAACTGAAGGCTGCAGTTTTTTTTCTATATCAATATTTTGAATGCCTGCATTCGATTTGCTTTGAGCTTCTTCTGTAGTGGTTTTCTTTTCACGATTATCATCTAAAGTATCTACTGCTTTGATATTACTTTGAGCAGCAGGCACTTTAATTTTGTCTAATTTGCTATCATTAACGGCTTTGTTGTCTGTCTTTTCTGTATTTTCTACTTTATGATTTTCCAACACCGTTTTGATATTATTTTCTAATTTCTGGTCCATTGCGACAAAGGCATCCAAATCGTTTGTCAAATAATGTAAATAAATCCTTTTTAAGGAAATAACAGAAAAAATGAGAAGAAAATTTGGGTAGATTGTTTTCAATTTCCTCGGATTTTAATGCCTTATAATTTAAATGGTTCTCTTCTGTTAACATGAATTATTCCTTAACTATTATTTAATATTATTTATTGTTTTTCCTTTTCGCAGGACATTTCGTCGTATGTATCGTTGTTGGTGGATTGGACGCCACCAACGAAATTTCTTCTTGTGTGTTGGGGATTTTTCTCTACTCCCGCATATCACCTTCTATCTTATTCATATCGCTATCTACAACATTATACGTGCAAGTAGTACCACTATTTATGATTTATGTTTTCAATTGTTTTTATTTTATTGACTTTTTCTACTCCTCTCGACGTAGAGATAAACAATTTTTATAAAAATGTTTCGAAATTGTATTCACAAATATTCTTTCTTCATTAATTTTATTTTCGAGTTCATATTCAGAAAAATATTACAAAAATTTCAAATTTACAAACACTAATATAATTAGCGTAAATATTAGGAGAAACTTATTTATATTTTTTCCCACCATTTAACACTTAACAACGTAAAAACCTGATGACGAAAATTTTAGTGCAGATGGATTGACGATTACTCTAATTAAAATATCTCTTGCAAACAACTGAGTGCTCTCTAATTCATAAAGTAATCATTGTAAGAAATTTTTGCATAAATAAATTAATGTAATGAAATAAAAATAAAACAAACGTAATATTCAAGATGAAAGTGATTTCAATTATTGAAGAAATTTAATAATATACATGAGCAGTTATTCAAGGAACGATTAATAGAAAAAATGATAAAATTGGTGAACTCTCAAGACAAATTCATACACTTAGGGAAATAAGTCGACATTTAAATGCAAACGAAAAAGTTCGTATTGCTTCGTTAGCTTGTGAAACGTAACATAAAAAGCGTGAAAGCGTTTCGTTTCGATTTTATTTTTAATGTGTTCCTTATTATTGAACTTCATATTTGTATGTATGTAGATTTTTGAATCTACAAGACACAATCAAACGCCTCCTACCAGTTGTAAATATATGCGAAATGTCGTTTGAAAAAAGAAATGAACAACTGAAACTGCTGGCAATTTGTTGAGAAGATAAATAGAATAAAATTATTACGCATTTTTAGAGCACGAAGTAGAGAAGTGTTATATGCCGGCTATAACGATTTTAACGAAAGTTTACACATGAAATGAATATCTTATGCACTAAAAATCTACTTATTAGTGAAAATTTGCAGTGAACAGAGAACAAATGCTCTTTGGAAAAAAATAAATCCTGTCGCGTGAAAGTGGTTGTCTAGCTACCTACAAGCGGGCCAAAATCCATAAATACTTGGCTAAAGTTCTGTGATTGCTTAATTTGATATGGCGAGCAGCGCACCGGTGAATTTGTTTATCTTTTCAGTGGAGATTTCATGAACTGTCTATTGTTTGGTGATTCGATGGACGTTCTTTATATAAAAGAAGCACGATTTAAAACGGATATTGACAACAAGTGTTATAAGATTGTGAAATATAACTTAATAATCCATGACAGAGCTCTTGACATAAAAAGTGGTGGAATTGCGATACACATAAGGCAAAGTTTAACAAGCTGGGCAGCGTTAACGTTTGATACAGTACCTCGGATTTGAAATTTCCGGTAATAAACTCTCGGCTGGATGAACTCTCGGCTTGTTATATAAATTGTGAGGAGCCAAAGTTGTCCCTCGTTTTGGCCTCACAGGTTCTTCGTTAAGAGTAGGATTAAGTAAACTACTAGGCAGACAACGGGAGATAACAGACGTTTTCGACTGGGATATGGTAAGTCGTAAACAGGTGGCTCCAAATGGTCCGTGTCGAGGGGGGGGGGTCAGAATCAGGGAAGAGCCGAAAACTATAACGCGAATAAGGCAAAAAATCGTAATTACTACTAGATAATAACAACGAAGGTACGCTCTGAATTGGCAAAGCGTAAGTACAATTTGTAGATCCTCGATGTAAATTTATAATTACATGGTCAACGTTGTAAAACGACTAGAACGAGTGCGCATTGATTTGAAATGTAATGAGCGTGTAACTTCAATCAATGTACGGTTCTTAAAATGTTTTGAGGCTAAAAGTCCTCACAGGTGGTCCCGAGCAGGGACAGTTATCATTGGAAAGGAGAAAATCTTTAAACAAAATAACAAAATGCTATAACGAATTAATTCATAGTTTTTATAAAGCCTATGCTGAAAAGAATGAACAAAAAAAAAAATAATTAAAAATTTTGTAATATGATATTTACAAAAATCACGGCAAAAAAGAAAAAAAAAATAAAGAATATAACAAAACGTCGCGACGCCATCGATGCAGGTGCTCGCATTATATTGCTTGCGATGGCAAACCAAAAACGACGTCGTCCGTTTGGTCGCCCATAAGAAATAATGTAGATGCGAGTACCGCAAGGAATTCGGACAAAAACCGTTGCATGAACGAAAGCGCAAAACAAGAAAATTCAAGGCAGGTGATCTTTGGAAGAAAAAGCACGCGTTCAGTAGTGCAGTAGCAGTCGAGCCAGTGAAGCGTAGAAAATTTCTTACAGCATTAAGCTGTTAATTTAGAGGAAATAAAGGCATGCAAAGGAAAACAACAAATCCAAAAATTATATAAATGAAAAAAAGGAAAAAAAAGGAAAAATTTTTGAAAATGAAAGTAAAAATCGAAAAGTGAACGATCTATCGTCGATACGGCAAGGCTCAATTAAAAGGTAAGCCAATTGATTTACATAAGAAAAAGAAAAGATAAATTTAAATTAAAAAGGAAAATTCAAATGTAAGAGCTTATTCAAAATTGAGTTAAAAAAAAAAAAATGAACCTAGAAGAAAAATAAGATGAAAAAAACCATGTAAAATTAAAAAAAAAAAATGTATTAAACACACAGCAACCAGCGCAGATTTTCTTTGAAAAATAAAATTCTAAAGGCGACTTCATTAAAATTGTTAATTTACTGTTATGTCTGGTAACATAGAAGAACATGGAAGAAAAAAAAAGAAATTCAGAAACCAACGCGTGTATCTTCGGTAGATGCCTACTTCTGTTGTTACCACTGATAGCGTTAAAAAGTGGTAGGAAGACGTAATAAAATATAGCAAAAAGTTAGCCGAGGTACCAGCCATTAGTGCTTTTTAGCGCGAGGGGTCATAGTACGTGAGTGATCGTAGATAAAGTCACCCGAGACAACGAGCAGTAGCAAATTTTCATAGCGCAAAAGTGCCATAGCACTGGAACAAATTTGTACTCTACGTTAAGTCGACGCACACAAGAGAAAAAAAAAGGAAAATTTAAATTTATGTACCCGGCAATTGGGAGAAATAGTAAACAAAAGAAAAAAAAGAAAGAAAGTTAGAAAGTTTTTTTCTGCAAAATTTTTTGAAATTTGAATGGTTCTCTTTTTATTTTATACACTATTTCAACAAAAGATAGATCCTATAATAGTAGCAGTTAAAGTGAAAAGAAATTCGAACTTTTTCATACTTTTTTTTGTTTGTCCTAATTTTTTTCTCATTCTCTCTTTGAATAACTATTTGTTTTTCTTTTTAAACAACACTCATATAGCATAACATCCGATGGCTTATTAGCGTTTCAAGTTTGGCTTTTTCTCCTTGAAATGCTTCAAAAATTTATTTTCGAAACAGTTTTAAAGATATGTACTTGTTCGTAGGTAAACTATTTTACATGGAATTATTAACATAATTTTTTTGCTACGTAATGTAAAATTTCTGCTATAATAAAAATTGGATTTGAGGAAAAACAAAAATGTTAACTATTCGTGGCAAACAGCTAAAAGGAATAGAAATGATTCAAACAATAAGCTAAGCAGAATTATAGCGAAAACTGAGTTTGTACGGGTGAGAGAAACGAGATAAAGATAAATAAAGAACCAAATGCTCAAAGTGCCCATAGGGAAATTATTAAACGTGTTCTAATCCCCTGGGCCTATTAAAACTCTATCCGTAAGCCTTGTCCATTGCTGCCATGAGTTTAACGTTACGCGTAACATGGGTTAACTCCTTACACCGAGATGAGCTCCAAGCCTACCTGGGGCTCGACATAGAAATCACAGCTTCCGTGCAAGAGATGAGGAGCCGCTGGGCTCAATTCATCAATCAGGATCGTAACCCCGAAGTTGTCGCACCCCTACTGGAGCTACAAACGGAACTTGGGACCATCACCAGACAGCGATCGCCCTCTCCAACCTCTTACGCGGGAAATATACCCCGTGAAGGGATCTTTACAGCCACCGACACGCGCCGAAATCCTGCAGTCAACAATATGAGCAAACTCACCCAGCTTACCGCCCCGATTGGCGGAGCACACCGAGTTTTCACGACAGCGGCCCATCATCGAAGTCCGCAGATGGGAGTTCAACTTGACCGGCTATAAAGACCCGCCTGCCTTCATCGAGCGGGTTGAAGAGCTAGCAGAGGCTTGCAGCGCCGACAAGGATCCTTTCCCAGTCACCATGGTGGAGATGCTATACGACCGGACCTTAATGTGGTACCGCAACAACAACCAACGCTGAACGGCCTGGGAGAAGTTCAAGGCTGACTTTCTGAGATTCTTCTTACCATCGCGATACTTTACCCGACTCGGAAATGACATGCGCCGACGTACCCAGCGGCCGAGAGACTATGTGCTGGCCTTGCAAGACCTGATGGGCAATACTGCGATGATGGAAGAGCAGAAATTGGAACGTATATATCCAAATGCGCAGCCCCCTGTGGTAGATACAGCGGCGAAGCTTCACCCATTTAGCCGAACTCATGGAGATCACCAGCGATTAGGAACCGATCCCGACGGGTAACACGTGACGCGAAGCCCCCAGGGAAGCGTACCAAGAACTTCAGCTAGGCGCTGACAAGGCATGTGTACCGGATATAATGCCGCAGAAGGGGCGAATAAATACGGCGACGGCCTGCCGACAATGTGTCCAGGGCGGACACCACCGGTATAACTGCACGAACCCATAGCCGACTTGTGCCCGGCGAGGTGCACGACCCATTAACTGCTGCCAGCAGCGAAACTATCAGGTGGCCCACCACCAGCGAGCGTGGTGACAGGGGCCCAGAGACGAACCTGCCTCGCGACGAGTAGTATAACCCAGCCTAACGAATGCACCTTGTCCACAACGCGCAACTCTAGAAAACAGGTCCACTGTGAAACAAAAACTAAATTCCACCCAGCCAACTCATCGACAATCTGTAACGAGACCCACGATATACCAAAGCAACGCCCTTTTCACGCCGAAAGTTAATAGCGGCATTCCACTTTCCAGCGAAGCTGTCTTAGAAATCCCACTATGCAGCGGTACGAAGCAGAGACCGCAAATATACCGAAATCTACGCCTGCTATGCAACGAAATCCACAAGGATATGAATGCAACATTCGAGCCTATAACCAGTCGTCCTCAACGAAGGCAACGGCGCCATGCTTTAAACTCCAACCTATATAGTCGTGGACTCCAGCAGCCTACAGGACCAACCATAACGACGTGGCTTGGTAGAGTCGGGAT